TGGTAGGACCAGTACAGAACCTTGTTAATATTGGATGCTTGATAGTATAGGTTAAAATCTGGCAAAGCCAGACCTGCACGTCTCTTATTTCTAATGAGGACCCTATGGGAGATCCTTGGTCTAGAACGCTTCCTTATAAAATTACGAATAAGCTTATGGAAAGTCGTACAATAATAAGTAAAGCAATGGGGAGAGTTTGAAAAAGAAATAACACCTTAGGGAGGACATTCATTTTAATTGTTTTAATTCTACGGAGCCACAAGAGGTGAGATTTATTATTATGCCATCTGGTAAGGTATTGTTTGATATCATTAAGAAGGGGCATATAGTTAGCTGTGCAGAGGTTGGAATATCTCGGGGTAAGATAAGTGCTCAGATATGTCATCCAGGCGGATTGCCAGATAAATAGCGGGAAGGCTTTCAATTGAGCAGCTATGATATGGGGGACAGAGATGTTAAATATTTCTGACTTTATTTTAAAGTCTGAAATTTGTCCGAAGACCTCCAATTCCCTCTTAAAAATGGGGAGTGACGTATGTGGTCTCTGAATGAAGAATAAGATATAATCGGTGACGGCATATGCCACTAAGTTGTGTTCCTTACCTCCCACACTTATACCTTTTATATCTGCATTGTCTCTTATAGAAATCAGTAGTGGCTCCAGGGATTTGGGACAGGGGATAATGGGCACCCCCATGTCTAGTGCCATTTCTTACAGAAAAGCTGGGTGACCAGAGACCATTGACACTAATCTGTGTGGTCGGGATGGTATACAAGGAATTAATCAAATCTAACATTTTAGGACCCAGGCCAATGTACTGCAGGGTAGACATTACATAGGACCAGTCAACCCTATCAAATGCCTTTTCAGCATCTGTTGATAGAAGCAATGTAGGGTCATCGGTTTTAGAGACTATGGGGGGAATTTATCAAACCTGGAGTAGACAAAATCTGGAGCAGTTGCCTACAGCAACCAATCAGCTTCTCTAATCAGTGTGTTCAGTTAAGATTTGAAAATGAAAGAGAGAAGCTGACTGGTTGCCAAGCACAGCTGCTCCAGATTTTGTCTGCTCCAGTTATGATAAATTCTCACCATAGTGTATGTCTCTAAAAGCTAAGTGCTCGCAGGGTGTTATCCCTGGCTTCTCTTCCAGGAATAAAATCTGAAAACTGAATAGGTTTTAAAAAATTTTTTTCCCCTCATAAAGAGTTTTGTTATGTTTTTTGTGTGTGTGTGTGTTTATATATTTATACATGAGGTGATATGGATTCTATATTTCTACACTTATTTTTATGTCTGTTTTGTAACCTGAGGAAGGGGGAGGAAGGGGGAGATTTTGGGCTCCCGAAACACATTGGCTATTTTGTGTTATCCTGTTGGGAACTAGTGCTGATAGTAATGGAATCTGGACTGAAGTTTTTTGTTTGACACTCTCATTAGACTTTATACATGTGGATCTTCAACTCTGGGCTCCCACAACAAGACACCCCTTAACACATAAGAGGTGTCCTGTTGTGTTAAGAGCAACATTTCTGGAGCCACTGTGCCCTGTTATAATCTGACTGACTCAATGAAAATTTGTATCCAGTCCCATGTTTTCACATGTTTATGAATACTGCATGTGTTGGCTTGGCATCTCCAACAAGAGAGAGGTAAAAAAGATGAAGTGTTTGGACATCTGTGTGAGAATCTTGAAATGTTTCTCTTGTGCTTTACTCACTATTGACAGTCTGTGAAAATGGATTATGGCCCTTTCATTTTCCTCCAAATCTATAGGGGTTCTTAACTCCTTTACCCATATCGCCATATATTTGGGTAGGTTAGGGTGGGAGAGATGTTATATTATGTTAATCGCTTGAACACATTTAAACTATGAGCTCAATCATTAATCCGCAAATTGATCTTAGGCTGAGATGTGTATATTTTGAATTCCTCACATGATCATGCTAAAAAAAGGGCAATATCTTATACAACAAATGGCCTGTCGAAGACAACTCTATAAACAAGTGTTGCTTACAACTGCTATACAAATAGCTTGGGCAAACATTAATTTTGAACTGGATGTTTGGGGAAAAAACTCTTAAATGATTTTATGTTTTTCCTGATAAAAGTTCAAAATGTTGTATGACCAATTATGACTGCTGAGAAAAAGAGACATGAAACATACACGACTCAATACCTTGCCCCCGCTTGTTTAATAAAGAACACAGAAACTAATGGTTTGAAGGTCAAGGCCACAGTTTTATTGATTTACAGTAGGGGTAGCCAAACTTCAGCATTCCAGCTATTGTGGAATTACAAGTTCCATTAGACATCACAAGATGTAAGAGTCCAGGGCTTACTACACATGCGCCAATGGCGTGTTTCCGCAAGAGGAAATCCCCGCCAACTGCGCATGCGCCAAAGACCCGTCAGTGCGCCAACCTGCGCATGCGCAGAAGACCTGATGGAAAAAGGCAGGAAAATGACCAGGAGGCGCACAGGAAGTGACCTTAACCTGATGGAAAAAGGCAGGAAAATGCCCAGGAGGCGCACAGGAAGTGACCTCAACCTGATGGAAAAAGGCGCGAAAATGCCCAGGAGGCACACAGGAAGTGACCTCAAACTTCAATCATCACTTCCCTATATAAGCCCAGCCCAGACACTGCCAAATTGCTGGATTATCTTCAGTCCCCCCTTGTTCCTGTGCTAGTGTGTGATCTGTCTGAACTTGTTGTGACCTGGAAACCTATTTGACTACTCTTGATTGCTGCCTGCCATTGACCTCAGATTTGTACCTTGACCATTCTACTTCTTTGCCCCTTTTGTACTCAGCTGCCAGATTGGAACCGACCCCGGCTTGGATCTCGACCATTCTTCTGATTAACCCCTGTGTACTTCGTTGCCAGAGTGAACTTGACCTCGGCTTGGATCTCGGACTAAGGCTTGCACGGTGCTCCGCACCCCTGCCACCCGTGCCACTCGGTGTCCACCAAGTCTCTGTCTCCATCTCCAGAGACTTCAAGGACCTGAGGTGCAAGGGAGGCCTCCCCACTACTTCGGTCTCACCTCAGGTACGTGGCTCCCGTGACACAAGACTTCGGCAGCCACTGGCTTGACTTTTTTTTTCATATATGGGAGAGAGGGATCTTTCAGTGAAGGAGCCAGGGGTTAAAAAGGCAATGCTCCTGCCCATCACCCCTTATAATTAACTCTCTCTTGCCCAGCCCTTTGAAGAACTTAAGGGATAACTCCACTTTTCCATTTGCAGTTTTATATTGCATAGCCAATAACTATAACTAGGGGGGAAAGACAGGCTTCCAGCCAGTCAAAATCCCTTTCCCTAGGGTACAAGGACTCATTTCCTCACCCTAATATAAAAGTATTCCATGCCCAAACAAACAGGGGTTTGTACTTTACATGCTCGTAACTTGAATTATTAATGGACATGTGGTGTTATACAACAAATCCAAAACAAAAGCTTTCCCTCATCTCTTTTGTTAAATGGAAATGTGCCCCCTGGTCCCTCGGACAGTCCTTTTGAGCAGATAAATTCAGTTCATTGATATATATTAAAATATTAGTTTTAATAGATTAATATTAAAACAAACCAACTATTAGCATCTGCACAATGATGTGCAAAATCGTTTGGCTATACTCTTAAATTGAATCTAAATGTCTCAAACATGGTCTTCATGGATAATAACATTTCCATTGGGTTAGAAAGGCTGCCTGGGTTCCAGCAGCTTTCTGGGCTTGGGCCCCCTAAATAAGCAGGTAATGTGTGAATATATCTTACATCTGCTAGTTAGGTACAGTTCAAAAATATTTTATTGTACTGTACTAGTTTGGAAGTTTACATTGAATATACTTTTCCAGACCCACTTCATTTACCCACTTAATTTGTTGGCTTTGTGTAATCATACAATCTAATTTTTTTGCATTTACTGCACGTTTGGTAGGTAGGGTATAACTATTATCTCAATACCTGAAAGGGCAAGTTCTGGTGGAATTCTGAGAACTGAGGACTTACTTTACCATGACTGTAAATTGTGGTGCCATATGCAACCTGTTGTAATCCAACAACTTTTCATAAGTTATCCGCACACTACACATTTACTTTAGTGTAAATTTTCATTGAATATATTTTGGGTTATTGTTCCAGCGTTTACTTTAAAGTGAATCTGTGCTGTGCCTATATGGGCAAAGCTACATGTATGCTTTAATTGTGGCCTCACCAGCAACTTCATTCAGCCACCAAGAGTGGAAAATACCTGGTACTTTAAGGTAAGAGGATCATGTGACTCACTCCCCTTCCTTGCATGTGACAATTCTGGCACTTGGAAACTTGACACTCAGGCACCCACACACTGCCTCTCCAATCTCATGTACAGGGTACACTGCAGCATTGCGCCCATTCATCCACATATAATTGTACATGATATGATTACCTGTAGAACGGGAGAGATGTTTGTCACGGGACACAAGCTCTCTGCGTCCGTCTACAATTATATGCGGACAGTCATGGACAGATCTGGACGCTGTCAACCTGTCATTAACTTGAATGGGCACAGAGGCTGCATCTGTGCGAACACACCTGGAATTCCTTCCGCAAGAATTCATAGGTTCTTGCCACAGGAATCTCAAACCGCAGATTTTAACATCGTGTGCATGAGGTCTAAGTCCAGCAAGTAGAGCCTTAAGGTTTTGGTGTTTGAGAAACACTATAATTAAATATGTGTTACATAAATTTTTCAATGATCAGGCTACTAATCTATATACTGTATACACTTGGACAAAACTACATGATATTACAGGATTGCTAGCCCACTTTTGTTTGGAAGCTAATTACAATGCATCAAACACAGCACACTACTACTAAAATACGATGAAAGCGATTTCACAACTGCATTCAGATTTATACAGCTAAAATGTTAGGATTAGGCTTGTATTTCACTGTAAATGTCTTGACATCTGATCCATTAAGCCATTTCACAGACTGACAGAGAGAACACTGCCTTCAGAGCGACATAATTGCCACAATCAGGATCATCACAAATTGGAAAGAAGCCTAGAAGAAAAATGAATACTGTTTAGGAAGTTCTGATACTGTATAGGAGAATTTTTATATGTAAAAATATATTTCACTTATGTATTTAGCTGTTTGTCTGGAGTTTCACTTTAATGCAGCCCTTACAAGAATGACAGCATATAAGAGGAGCATTATTCAGCTATTATAGTTTTCTATATGCTATAATCTGCCTAGTTTATGTAGCATATTGAGAAGACAATGTTTATGTCTGTGGATATCGGCAGAAAATCACAGCCAACCATTCTCTGGGTGTCATTTTAGCCAATTGTTCAGGTTTTCGCCTTAGAACACCAGTGGTGGATGTGTCTAACCATGGTCACCTGTCATGGACATAAATGTGTAGGCTAGGGCAATCCAAACATGTATTTATATTTAGTGGGTGAGGTCTAACATACCTATTTGCCATCTTGTAATGTGAATCATCCCCTGAAAGTTAAATTCGTTTTTTGGAAAAGGTGAGACATTTAAGAGTTTTTTTCTGAGATTTTCAGTGTTGTCTGTGGCCCTTATTGGGTATGTTTCCCCTGACCTTCTGACCCCATGATAACTGTCAATTGAACAGAAAGTTGTGGGAAACCTCACTAATGGGACAAAGACCTCAATAAAATCATCACAAAGATTTTTACCACTTCTCACGATACTAAAGAAAATGTTATTGCTGTGTTCCCATTGGGGAACTTTCTCTTCACTTGGCAGTGGTAACTGTGGTAGCAAGATAGGGAAGTCTTCCCATTAATGGCAGGACAGGAGGTTATATCATGTTCATCCTAATTTGTATTCAGTTTTTTAAGGAGTAGGGGATGCCAAAAACCTCAGAGAGACCTTTGTTCTTACTATCTGTGCCCATGACAAGGACATCTCCTCTCACTTCCTGCTCCAGTGACAATGGTCCAGTTTTGATTGGAGTTTTCACCTAAATATTTTGAACTTGAACCCTCATCTGGGCCTGCACAAAAATAATCTACAAAGCACTAGTCACTAAAAACCAGGATATATCTTGCCTGCTAATAGTGGTATTTGTTAAACATAGCAGCAAGGGTATTTAAAACCCATTTTTTTAAGGGTTAGCTGATCATGATTGGATTTTCCCGAAATATACTTGATGATACTTACAGATATTCTGAAAGAAGGATTTGCAGTATTAGTGCAACTTGTTCCAGATACACTTGCGGATGTTGAGTTGTAGGTGATCGTGCAGCTTGCAACATTAGTCCAGAAGACCTTCTCTGACTGCACCACAGTCGCCCTGGAAGAGGAAATATAGTCATTTTATTTAATTTAAATATAAATGTAAAATGCAAAGTGAATTCCAGGCATAATATGAAGCCCAGCTATTATAAGCAACCCCCCAATGCAGCTGTATAGTGTGTTGTGTTTTGCTTTGTTTTGTTATTTTCTTATCCCCTTACCCTTCTTAGAATAGACTTAGAGGGTTATTCACAAAGGATTAAGCCAAAGCATCGGCTAATCCTTCGGCTCACTTTGGCCACCGGAGCCCTCCAGTTCAGTCGAAGTGAAGGGCTGCTGCACAGGCTACTCACAATAGCCCATACAGCAGCCAAGCGGCTCGGCCGAGCTGTCTACATACAGCAGGCTGTCAGAATACCCGACCAGAGCGGGCAGCTCGTTGACTTCCAGCTCTGATCGATCGAAGATTTTCTGGCTGGCTTCTTCGATCCACCGATCGAGGGATGTCGATCGAAAAGGGTGCCGACAGTGTCACACACTGCAAATTTCGGCCAGTTCCTCAAAAACCTGGCCGAAATTTGAATAGTATATGGGCACCTTACTGGTGGTTTAAAGCTACCAGGAGTTTTTTTATGAGTTAACAAATGGGGATACCAGCTGAAGATACTAGTCCGGTAGGTACGCTTGTATTCTCATAAATGCTGCATCACAAGTGTAAAAGACCCACTCTGTGCTGATATCAGCCCACATGCATGGGTACAGGGCTTTTCAGTACTTTTAGTAGGTCAGAATATGTCACTATAATTGGCCAGATTGTGCAAAATTTACTAGCCTCCCATACTATCCCTTTCCTAATGAACTGATAAAAGAAACTTTAGATCTCTTAGTTGTTAGTCATGTTGTTAAAATAAAACATAACACATGGATCTGATTATTTCAGATTTCTCTGTGAGTGGACTAGAATTATTGTGTGTTAAGAGTGTAGAAGTAAAGTACAATTGGGATAATATAATTTATGGGCACATATTTCCTCATATCATTCTCAGGGTTTGCAAAAGTTCCTTGATTTTTATGTATACCATGGCAGGGCTCTTCTTTATTCAAAAACCCAGTCTAAAGTTAAATTTTGCAAGCTAAGCTTCACCACACCTGTACTGTAGGATTCAGTGTAACCACAATAGTACTTATTTAAGGAATTAAATAATTAGTGTGTCAGTTTGGGGGACCTGAAATCCAATGGTCTAATTACACAGCTAGTTCTCAGGAAGAATCATTATTTGAGAGCTGAAAACTCCATTGTACAAATGAAGAAAAAGGAAATATCCTTTAAGTATATGGAGAATACCAATTCCATTTTATAAACCATGTTGGAACCTATGCAGCTTTAAAGATTAGTGTGCACTAAATGTGAAATCAGTAATAATGTGTCCCTATCTTGACAACTGATAGATAGCGGTCTATTCAAAACAAAGCCCTTGCAAAGAAACGCACCTTATTTTTATGTCTGAGTTGCCGCTTGATGGGGCCAACCATTTCACCTGCACATTTGATTTTGAGGCTTTAGATGTTTGACTCACTGCACTCTGAAAAACAAAGGAAGGCAGTGGGATAACAACCATCATATTTTCTGTGGTGAACATTTCATTAAAGTGTATGTCAGGGCAAAAAAAAAATCATGCAGTACATCTCTGCAAAACATGCACAATTTCCTATATTTTATCCCTTTAAAAACCTGCAAGTACAGAGAAATACCAATTGTTCCTGGCAGATCAAGCACTCCTCATTTCCTGTTGTGGGCTGACAATAGAGTGCCTTTGATGCACTGAAATTGCAAAAAATCTTGCCAGCTCATTCCAGCTCTCTCTTTCCTCTTCTTAATAACACAGGGTGGGGGTGTTCTGTAGTGCACTAAGAGAACTTGGAGGGCCGATTAGACTCATAGCGATAACTCAGGCAGCATGCACAGGACTCAGGCCATCTCTGGATTTCTGGCAGAATCAACAGGTATTTATTTAACTGATCAATCAGATATAGTAAAACACTTTCTATGGTATATTTAACAGACCAAATGGAAGCAATATTAGAGTCATTTGTTGTTAGGGATTAATTAAACCTTAAGTAAAATAAAATTTTAAAAAATAAAATTTAAATAGATGGGTGTGTGGGTGCTGTTTTGTCTGCTAAAAGAATTTGTATTTGTGTCCATACAGTCCTGAGATTTACACAGCCAGACAATGAATAGTCAGTAAATGATGAGCGATGATGAGTGCTTTATTCTGCTTACTGTTCTGTCCTCCTGTCACCATTTTCAGTGATTCAGTGTAATATGTGCATGCTGCGCACCTGATTGGCTCCAAGTACTGCCATTCGCTCTCCATGCTGTGCAGGGATTGCAGGAGGCTGATACCAAGTAAAATTCAGCTATTTGCATTTAAAGAATCTGTAAAGCCAGTCACTTATATTTTATATAGGCTTTTGCTTACTTATAGTAGGTTTCAGTATTTTTAAACCTGCTTTCATTAAAATGAAGACTACAAGTGGCTGTTTCAACACACATCACTCAGGCATGGTCCACTGTGTGTATAAGGGTTAATCCCCAATTCTGTATTAGAGCCCTTTCTTACTTTTCAGTTGTGATATGTAACACATGTAACATGCTTTAACTTGTGTGGTTCCATTAATTTTCAAAGGTACCCTAAAGCACTAACTAAAAGCACCTCCTACGCACATGCTTTGCAGTGCACCACAATTAATGGTAATACACTACAGTGTGTTTTGGTGCACTGCATTAAACAAAAATGTGGTATGTCAATATTTTGGATGTTCTGTTGCCCATTATTTTCAATTGGCTGTTTTAATAAAATGAACATTAACAAGGTACATCAATGACGCGTTGACACGATGCACCAGTACGTGTAGGTGTTTGGGTGTAAATGGTCCCCTAATGTTCCAGTGCTATTATAACCTAGGCAGGAAACAAGATGTAGCTTGCCTGAATGAGTCTTTAAGGGAGGGCGTATATATAGTCTGACAAAAGAACTAATTTGTCACCAAACCTTGTATTTGTTATAGCAAACAGTTAGATTAAATTACCTCTGAGAAACCTGGTACTATTATTCTTTCTGGGAACACAGATCAACCAGTTTGCTCCAGCAAACTGGTCCAACAGGCATATCCTACATGTGTATTTGATTGTTTTGGATGATAAGAATTATAAAGTAATTCAAGTAAGATTGCTACAGTATGCAATTAATTGCCTCTTGCTTGTCCATAAATACAAAATGCTACCCCAGAGCTTCTTCATGTGATTTTTAAATTTCATTAGTGACTTATATCATCATGTCCCCTGTTAGCTCATGTGAACTACAGCACAATGATTGGCTCTGTGTGCTTCTTCTCCCTCTCACAGTCTCATTTCTTATTACCATATACTGCAAGATACTTATACAAATCCAATTCAGATTCAGGTGCTTACTCTGTTTGCATTAACAATACATTTGATTTAATTTGTGTCTTTACGGTAGATCTGTTTGGAGATTATAATTTAAATTTGTTTGGAGTTCAGCTTTTAAGGACTCATACGTGTTACCATCTAGTTGTACAAATGTTCTTAAAGTGGACCTTTACCCCTATCTTTACAATAACAGCAAACACACCTTTAGAAATGTTTAGTAATGACAATCTACAAACACATACTTCTAGATAATTGCCGGCTTTGTATTCTTTGCATACCTTATTTCTCTTTTCTTCCCCAGTCTTCTGGCAGTGGCCATGTTTACTAAGGTCAGATTACTAGCTCTCCTTTTACTTCCTGGATTTCTGGCAAATGTGACTAGACATGTGACTAGGACATGTGACCATGCACCTCATCTCAGGGGAGGAAAATGCCTTTCCCTGAGATCTCCTGAGATTACAGATGAGATTTCTCAGCAATGCCCTGCTGGTGACAATGCAATCCCAGTGTGCATTGTTATGGCAAACTGAAGTCTTTTTGCCCTTTCAAAGCAGGAAGTGAATGCTCTGCAAGTGTAAGTATTTCAAACTTTCAGCAGTTTACATCTGACATGTCTATGTTATTATTAATCATCAAACATAGAGGGATGCATTGGTAGAATTTGATTTTTAAGTGTAAAGGTCCGCTTTAAGGTCTACCAATAACTATGTAGTGAGAGAACCTACTCACTTAAATATAAGCTAAATGGAAAGTGTAGGTAGCCATTCATACAACATAGTTGTTGGTAAATCTAAACTATATTACATGGAAATTGTACAGTCAGATTGTAACATATGTAGACAGTCTTGGTGTCCTGTCCTGTAGCTAGAAGGTAAAACCACTGCATAGTAGTAGGCATGGCATGGTATATACTGGACTAGTAGCCATAGCTCTGCAAGGTAGGAAAAACTTGAGTAACGGCCTGCTAGACTGGTAAGTATTACTAATCTTCTTTTTCAGGCTGCTTGTATTTTAATGTTTTTGCTCTAGTAATAGGGTCACTTATACTTCTTCAGCATCCACATTTGCATAGTCTACCTAATTTATCATCATAGGTTATACTTACTGCAGCTGTAGAACATGTGAGGGTCTGTGCACTGCTGTCTATGAGCTGAAAGGAGCCCAAGGGGGTTTCTAAGCTGCCTGAGCGGGCTTGAATTAGGAATCCTTCAAATTTTGAATTTCCACTCAGAGTCACTGCAAAGTAAGAAAGATATAAAATATATTTAGGTTACAAAATGTACAACGCAACAGAGAAACAGAAATATCAAATTATTTTTTTAATATATTTTTTTCTTTATTTGGGACATGCAAAGATAACAAAGCAAATATAAATAGTAACATATGACCTCCTGACACAGCTGGACATGGTGATCCAAGACATATAGACGTATGGGTGACCACAAGCACTTCCAAAGAGAAATCAGCCATCACAGTTATATATTAGACATCATAGGCTAAGGTCTAGTATCATAGCAACTGAAGGACCATCATGTGCTGAGAGATACTGTGGCCGTGTTAATAAAAGGGAAAAAGCTAAACTGGGAGGGAAACAAAAAAAAAGTGGAGGAGGGGTGTGGCTTGGGAAAATGAAGGGGAGGGGAGGAAAGAGAGAAGGGGCCAAGAATAGAAAAGGAATGAAAGGAAGACTAGGAAGGAGAAGAAACAAAAACAAAAGATAAAAAGGAACATAGAAAGTACGTGAGGGCAGATGCAGATGCACACAAGTCAATTATGGCTGAATTGCATGATATGAATATAACGAATTACCTTCAAGCAGTGACCATTGCTTTCAGATTTAAATACTGGGAATTTTTTAATTGGTTTTGATGGGTAACATTCTGCATTGCTTTATGTGCAGGTTTTTTTTTTACATGAAGGAACATAAAATATTTATTTAGTAATGTAATACATTAATTAATTGATACACTATAAAGAGCAACAAGTTAAATTTGGCTTTTGTTGATGTAAAAATAGCTTTAGACAACTTTTGACAACTTGTATCGAATGCTTCATGACCTATGCAATCAGTTTATTTTTGTAAATTTGTTACGATGTTCAGAAACTAAATGCTAGAGACTTGAAGGACTTTGTCTTAACTCCAGTGTAAGCGGATGTTGGGAGTGACTGTCCTATCCTTTAGCACTGTTTCTTCAATGTCTTCTGCTACCTATTTGACCAAGCATGTGGCTGCTCAGAACTTTTGCTGCAATGCTTGCATACAGAATGAGATAACCAAAACTTCCCAGGAGGACATGTATCAGGTGTAGCAACCTTTGAATCAATATTTAATTGATCTGCAGAGTGATGCAACTCCCCCTCCCCCCAAGCAAAAATGAAGGATGAAGGTGCAAAACCGGAGCACTTTTCCCATACTCCAGTGAAGAAACCATGCAAAGCAACATGTAGACATTAAGAGACACTAAGGAGTTTCCAGAATCTTGAAGATGACAGACTTTAGCGCACCTACTCTAAGAAAAGTCCTTACAGTGGTGCAACAATATAATTCTTTACTTGTCTCCCTAACGACTCAAATACAGTGGGGTAGGGAAGAGATAATGTTTATCGTGCCTAAGCTTCAAGGAAAACATAACAACATGGAAGATACTATATTCCTTCTTCACCAAGAGACTAAACTTGCCCTACAAAAGTCTACCTAATCCTAAGGAACTAGCTCATATTAAAAAGAGACATAGTAATATTAAAGGTAGCAATATTAATATTAAGGGTAGCAATCCAGCATCCAAGTACAGAAGGTAGCAATCCAGCCTCCAAGTATATTAAAAATGGATCTTAACCTGGTGGCGATGCCCATTAGCCACTCGCTTTTGGATCAAGATATTCAAACTGATTATTTCCCTTTTTAACATACATGTTTCCAGCAATCTTCAATATGCCCTCTTCCATCTGTCTATACCCGGAACTACAGCGTGTTTATTTTTCTAGCAGCTAAGTTAACGATGGCAGGCAACTGGAAGAGACAACAAATCTCCTATGTGGAATTTGTAAATAGGCTTGATTATATCATGCTCAATGAATGCCTTTCCAGTATTCCAGTATTTTAGAGGACAATTATTGTAAATGTCTGGGTATTTGGGAACCTTAGCTCCTATATCGCCACCCTGACATGGATCCAATGAGCTACCGGAGAATCTGATTTCTGTTTTGAGCATTCAGATGGTTCTGGTGATAGTGCTGGGGTTTGCCCAAATGTGGGACCCACCAATGGTATTAGTGTGACGGATACTATTACCATTTCCCGTATTGTCTATCCTCTTTCTTCTCTCTTTCTGTGGGGTCTCTCCCCGCTACCTTTTTTTTTTTTTAGATTTTATTTTATTTTAATCTCCTTCTCTGGCTTCTCTCCTAGGAGGTGTAGTCCTGTTAACTTTGCAGCTGCACAAAATGTTAAATCTTACCACATGGTTAAGGATGAGACACCCACTTGCTCTTGAATTTGTAATTCATAGGCTGTAATATTGCATTTATTATGGGTATATTGTTCTCTGCCTAACTACTGTTTTGGAGCAACGTCAACCACTTACCTATGTTTAATATGTGTTAAACTTTAATAAAATTATTGAAACAGAAAAATGGCTCTTAACCACTCTTGGAAAGAACACTCTCAAACCTCTCTTTGTTGTGGAAAGAGTTCACTGAGTGAGTACAACTTTGCCCTTGACCCAGGGTATCCCCCCCAGACTGGTTATTGAGCTACCACTATCGAGTTATTATCCTTGGTAACTCTGGAGAGCTTTAGGCTGTTACTCTGAATGAAGCCAAATCCTTGCTGCACAACCTGCAACTCATTTATGCTATGCTGTTCCCTGCTTATCACAGGGTGGTGACCTCAGTCATCTCACTTTTTTTAAGGCAGCAACATTCTGTTTTTTGCAAAAATTTGCCAAAAACAAATTGAGGATGCTCATAGTGACAATTATGGATGGTGCTATGTGTATTTCAAAGAATCAAAGTGTTTTTATTATGTCCCATAAGTCATATAGCCATGTTTTGGAATTGTGCAGGATCCAATAACACTGTGTCGCCGAGCGGAAGTGACCATGCTGGTCCCAAAATGTTGGCTTTACAACCTACAGTAGACATCAAAATTCAGACGAAATTTGGACATTCTGACACATCCGAATTTCTGAATCCCACTGCATCAGAATATGTCCAAATGCGAATTTCTGTTTCTGATTTTCAGATCCCGTCCGAATTTCATTCAAAAAGGAAACTGAATCGAGCATGTGACTTTTCTGGCCAATTAGATGTATTTTTTGGTTTAATGAATGGTTCTGAACACGAATTTAGTAACAGGAAATTCTGTCTGTCCCCATAAAAAGACTAGGGACTCTTTGAGTATCCTTACATGAACATACAATGCTTCTAGATCTATACCCATTGTTAGGGCAGACAGTGTTTAAATCTAGTTTACAATAGATAGAGAGATATGCCATAACAGTACAGGCAGGGTTAACATTAACCTGCCCACCCCTTTGCATTCCAGAGGCACGTAAGGTAAGTAAAGAGATAAACTTTTTTTTTTCCAGAATACAGCATGTAATATGCAAGCAGCAATTGTTTTAGGTATGCAATGTCAATGGAAATTAATATAAACTAGATATTAACCCAATTCAGCTGCAAAAGTGGAAATGCACTTTAAGCAAAGGTAAAAGGAAAATTTCGCATTGTACAGGAAATCACCCACAATCATGAATTGCTATACTATACAACTGCCTGCTTTCTACTAGTATGTGAAGTAAATTACATAATATGGAGAGCAAATATTGTGGCATCCCAGTACAGAGAGATTTAAAAAAAGTTACTGTACATGGACTAAAAAGATGCATATTACTTTTCAAGTTATACCAATGCCACTGCTATCTGGCACATGCAGGATAGAACCACCCAAAATACTAAACCCAGGTTGCATGGGCGGGGATTTGTGTTTTTTTTGCCGGTTCTATCTTTGGATATGCTGGATAGTAGCAGCACCGATATCATTTGTAAAAAGAAAGGAAACTTTGACTTACCATCCAACAGACAAGTAATATGGATTTTATTATTTTAGAGCCCACCCTGGGTCCATGTTTGTTAACATGGCGACAGGTTTGCTTTTAAAAGTATAATATACATTGCAAGCCCACTTTCCAAATTACTATTAATAACTGGTAGGCATGGATATAGACATACGTATTCACTACTTTACTCATCATTCTACATTACCTGAGATTTGCTCTCCAGCACTGTAAGTGGTTTTAGAAACAGTCAAACTGTAGGGGGCATTGGAGGTCTGAGCAGAGGCTCCATGATTAGGAACCATTGAAGAGCAGGACTCCTGAACTTGTCCATCTGGATAGGCATTAATGGAGCCATAAAGACACAAGATAAGCAGGATGATGATACTGTGAGCTGAAGCGGAAATATCCATCTGCATGGAATCTGAAACATCAAACATATACATATTTACAGAAAGAAACTACATAAATATATATAAGAAATTAACAATATAACTTACCCTATACTAATTAATGTCAGTTTTTTTTTTTGCTAATGAGAATGACATTTAGATTAATATTAGCTGTTGTTGAACAGCTAAATGGAATGTGTGGCTTTAGCCTCTTGCTGCCAGGCCCTGCTTCCCACTTTTTACCACCAATATCCAGACCATTTTTGCTTTTTTGTTTTTTATACTTTTTAGTCATTTCAGTCATTTTGGTGTCACCCCTCCAATGGTCTTACCCGGGTACGGGCCGCACCCCCCTTGTGACGCCACTGTCTGAAACTAGTGCTGGAAGGTTTGAATCCAGTGACGCCAATCCTGGGAAATACTTTTGCATTCACTGACCAATTCTGGAAATATTTGTTTTGCATTTATCAATACCAATGTGTAGGGTTATTAGTGCATCCACTGAAGCCAAAGCTGGGGCTTTTTATTAAATTCAATGACATCAATGCTAGGGGTAATTATTGCATCCACTGAAACCAATGCTGGGGGGTTTTATTGTATAAATTCACACCGCTGCTGGGAGTTATTACTGCTGATGCCAACAATTTTACTTCGACTTTCTCTTCAGTGTGCCCCCAAGCCCTATTTTGTCTAAGACATAACAAAGGGGCCATCCAACAAGCTATATGCAGCCAAGCGACACTCTCTTCAATGACCACGCTTTTAGGCCATGTGCACATTTGTTCAGCTTGTGGGCATGCATCACATTTTACGTCTCATACTCTTCAAAGTGTCCCTCATGTGTGTTTGCAGAAGTTAGCAACTATGATAAAGGATCCTATCATACAACCATTTCTACCTTGCCATTAGAGAAAGGTGAAAGAGGCATGCTGCAAACACCTCTTTATGCTAGCTTAACCAGGAGAAAAAGTGAATAAACAACATGTCTGATCACTTCTACCCATGCCAAACCTGAGCAATTATGTTCTACTAATGCCTCAAAGACATTAGGTCATCATCTAATCTCTAAGGGCACCTGGAGTACAAGCATATATCCCTGTACAAAGCATGAGAAATGGGCTCAAATGTCATTCAGATTAATTCAGTATTAGCAAGCAGAGAAAGCAATTGTTGATAATAAATCTCTAGGGAAGGTAATTATACTGCTTTGTCTTCTGTGGGAAGGAATCATACTGGACAAAAGGGAAATGTACTAAATCTCTCTGCTAACAGGAATATCCTAAAAACTGTATTTATTATATAGCTACAGCATAGAACTCCTTGACCAGTTTGGAACACAGTCATGGGAACCCGGAGTGAATCTCACTGATCACTGCAGGTAAGAGTTACCCTAAATATTCTTGATTTGTGTAGGCCTGTATATATAACGCAAACACACACGTATAGAGACAACATACATACAGCATGTAAATACACCTTCCTATAAACGCTTGTTTCCACAGTATACAGACTAACATAGCAACTGTGAGTTTCAATCCCAATAGAGTAAATGCTTTCTTTTGTGCTCTGGGATTCAAACACACTGACAATGCTTTTTATCAGGATGGGGCAACTTCGGAGCACACATACAGTATGTCTATAAGTAGCTAACTCTAATAAACTCATGATTTATAGATAAAATAGCCCACAAATATTTACCTATATACATGGTTGGGTAAGAAAATATAAGAGAAAAAGGGGGTAAAAATAAATAAATATATATATATATACAGCATTTCAGGTGGAGAAAAGTGAAAACAGGCAGAGAGCGGTGAGGTAGCGGAAATTTTCTAAATTTAGATATTCATTCATATACAAAGAGAGATGCATGGGCACTATGAGTAAAATAGAGCAAGATAGTGAATAGCAGAGGTCCACATGAAAATCATATTTTCATAACGTAGAGTAGAGCAAAGAGAAGAGAGTTGCTGCTAAACTATTAAAGGTGAAAGTGATCACTCCTGGAAAGAATGCATATCTGCTGCCATTCAAATACGCACTGATTTAATAAACGATCAGCGTACAAACATGCAAGCTAGCACTGCCACCGGGGAAACTTGTAGGTTTGTGGCAGTGAACAAGGATGCATGCAAGTAAATGTAAAGACAAAGTGGCTTTAATGGCTTTTGTAATAATGTCACTTTGGTTTGCCTTAATGTCTGGCTATATACTAAAAATAGCGATCCCTCGCATATATATGCAGCAGGTCCCCAGGCATTCTATAAATCATTGTCATTGTATGTGGTGTTTTCTGCATAGCCTATGCTGTGGGTTGCACACTTACCTGTGATCACACAAGCACTGCTGTTCTTGGTACAGGTAGACTGTGTTCTCCTCCCCACAGTTCAGTGACTGTAAAGCAGACAAACACTCTGAGCAAAGGACTTATTGATAGTCATTACAGGGAGGGGTCTGGGTATATATTTCCTGGTGAAACTGTAAGGTATATCTGTTTACCGCATCCTACAATTAATTAATGGCCAAGACCTGAGTATTTAGGCACCACACCCCTAGAAACAATGGTAATCACAAAAAGAGAATGGGGGGTTTTGAAGGTACCAAATGACAATTCCAAGGCAATTGAAGATAAAAAATATATAGTGATTAAAAAATTAATTGATATAAAATTCATTCGTGAAATACCTCCAAACAGATATCTCCTAAGAGGGTCACTCCACTTCTATATCTACAGGTCAATAATACATGATTGATTTAGGACAATACATATGATGACATGATTTGAAATAAAGACATGATTAATGCTTAATTTATTCGGAGTGGAGGAGTCACGTACTTTCCCAACATTTCACGCTAAAAAGCGCTTCCTCAGGAGATGGAGGAAATCTGCATAATTGGAAAAATCAGTAAACATGATGTGCGAAACCAAAATTGTATAATGGATGAATAACCAGGTAGGAACAACACCTACCGATTTGGTCAGGTTGACATGTGTGCATCTGAGCAGACCGATCCGAGCAGTCAATCTACGTGGATACATTGATCCTGCACACACACACACACACTAAAGCAGAATAATACAGCCCCCCATTGTTTAACCCCTCGCCCCACCCCCTTTCCTTCCCCCCCTGCCCAGAGAAAGACCCATGGCCTGCACATTCCCTGGTGATCCAGTGGTTGATTAGTAAGGTCTGGTGCAGACCTTACTAATTGTTCCTTTTGGCCAGAGCTCAGAACTGTCAGGGCTCCGGCCGAAAAGGAATTCCTGAGTGCCAGAGCTGACAGGAGCAGCTATGTGGTCTGCATCTGACAGAGATGCAGACCAAGTAGCTGTTCCCACAAAGTCAGGTATGGTATACCTGACTTGACAGCTGGCTGAGGGCCAAATGGCACCAGTTCGCGGGCTGGAATTGGCCCACGGGCCGGTACTTTGAGACCCTGCTCTATATCCATATTTGCCACATATTTGCTGGTCAACTTCAACACTTCAAATCAAGAATATGTTGGGTGAAGGGTGAGGATATCTAACGGTGAGTTTAGAGGCGTAACTAGGAACCTCAGGGCTCCGGTGTAAGGAGCCATGAAGGGCCCCCCCACCCCATGCTGCGGAGCAATGGCCTGCTGGGAGCTGTAGTCCCAGGAGGCAGTGTCGGGGCCTCGGCGGTTACTGGGCTGGGCCCTCTACTTCCTCTCCAGGCCCCCGGGGGGCTATAACAATAAAGGCATGCTGGGACTTCCAGGGAACTACACGTCCCATCATGCCCTCATTTTCCTTGTACATCCCCACATATAAATCACCCAGGGAACTACAAGTTCAGCATGCAAGCCCCCTGCAGTAGTTCACTGGGTGATATGTGAGAGGTGTACAGGGACAGTGAGTGCATGCTGGGACTTGTAGTCCCCTGTATGATAGAAGGCTGTTTTAATGAATCCCTCATGAAAATACTAATAATACAATGGAATTATAGTACAGTAATTTTCAAGTTCAACTATAGTCTATTCTATGTTTCTATAATGACATTGTATTACCAGTACTTTCATGAGGAATTAATTAAAACAGCCTTCTATCATACAGGGAACTACAAGTCCCAGCTGAACTGCCGACTTGTAGTTTCCTAGTAATACAATGCCATTAAGCAAAAGACATAACCCTCCTGAAACCCAGTCTGCATGGACAGTATGGGCACAAAAGAAAAAAAAAACATATAGTTTATTGAAGCTTGAACAGGGGCTGACTGGCAACTTTTGGCAAGTACAACCCAAGGGCACATGGTGCACAGATTTGACCCTCTCCTGCTCTTCCTCTTTCCCTGCCTCCTCCCTGCCACTTTCTTGTATGTATCACATATGCAGTACCACATGTGCAATTTTGAGGGGGGCAGTGCAGCCTTTTTATGGAGCATCCACAAGGCCATTTTTAATATTAATTGGGCTCTGGGCAAGATTCTGCAGATGGGCCCCCACAACTCCCCCCGCCACCATCACCTGCCCTCCCACTTCTCGACCCAGACCCCCATATCCACTTACATCACCTTTGCTGCTCTGGACAGCCATAAATAGGGCCCTGCTAGACTGTTTAGAGCCCTAGGACAGCAGCTCGCACACCACTTCCCCCTAGTCCGGTGCTTCAGGTATGGGGATGTTGGTACATACCGCAGGCATCATAGGATGGGTTGTGCATAGTGCATGCACCGGAGCAGGGGGGAAGCCAGTTGGTGGTTGTGTATACTACATGCACACGAGAGGGGGTGCACACTGCATGCCCCAGAGTGGGGGTGTTGGTGGATGTGCATACCGCATGTACAGAAGCATAGGGGGTCTGCTGCCAGGAGTGGATGAGGATGAGAAAAGGAGAGCTGCTGTTGCATTAAGAGAACAATGGTGTGCTTTTTTGTGTGCCATGTGACAGTTTTGCTAAAACAATACAGACTAATGATTTTAGGGCAGCGCTGGAGCTCCAGGGCCCTTCGCAGCTGTGACCCCTGCAACCCTGGTAGTTATGCCACTGACTCCAAGCTGACTTATGCCATAGTCT